TCATCATATTCCTTGTTTAATGATTATTTTGTTTGTTTTATCATTAGTTATTACTTGAAGACTTTACACATCACAACATTGARATGGCATGTAATCTGTTRGAAGTTTGTGGCAGATTCTTGTACCGTTCTCCTGACTCTCACATCAGAACCAAGAACCTACTGGTTAGTAACTCCTTGKTTTGCTTTGTTTTCTATTTCTTTCATTTCCCCCTTATTTATTTTTGATCTTTTGTACACTTTTATTCCTTAAACTGGCTTAATACCCTCCATATTCCACACTATATCTTTCATTATCATATTTTCCTTCATTTTTCCCTTCCTCGATCATCTCAAGTACGTTCTGTTAACATGTTCTGAATAACAGTGATAAATAGAAACTYATTCCATTTTCAGGAATTAATGATGAGGAAGAAAACTGTTCAGAATCTTGACAGTCGTCACTTGGCCCTGATTGATAATGCATTTTACTACTGCAACCCCCCTGAACGACAAAAGGTGAGAAACACCCCCCTGAAATACAGGACGTAAAAAAAGCTTTATGACAATAAGACAATGATCATGATGTGTGGTGTCTTTAGTTGATTTCCAATGTTATCACTATTTATCAGTGCATGGCAAAAGAGCGTCCACCAATGCATGAGTATATTCGTAAGCTGCTGTATAAAGACCTGTCCAAGACTACTACAGAAAAGGTGATTTCACCAGTATATTTCCAGATATCATTTGTTTCTTGTGCTTATGCTTGTKYTTTGTTAATGTCTGTGTGTTTGTGTCTAGGTGCTTCGTCAAATGAGAAAAATCAACTGGGATACTACTGAGGTAAGTCATGGTCATAGCTGTCAATAACATTGATGTGTACTGATATTATGTTCCATGGTAGATTGCATGTTATGCCATTAAATGCTTGATACGTATCTGGAATGTCAAATACAACAGTATCCATTGTGCCGCAAACTTACTGGCAGGTTTGGCCAGCTATCATGTAAGTACACCGTAAGGCTATATCTGTTCATATATACTATCATGTAAGTACACCGTAAGGCTATATCTATTCATATATACTATCATGTAAGTACACCGTATCATGTAAGTACACCGTAAGGCTATATCTATTCATATATACAGGCTATAACAGCGGGAAGGAGGTTGTTCTTAAGGAGAAAGGAAGAAAGTGCATATAAAAGTTACTGGTACTTTTTTCCAGGAAGAGGTTGCTCTTTGTGTGGTCGATGGTTTGTTAGAAGAAATCCGTGTAGGAATGGAGGTAGGAATATGACACTGGTTTCTCGACTTAATATTTCAAAATACACGTTTAGCACAAGTTTGGCCGCATTTATGATACGGATGTAACGTTCTTTCTGTAGATAAACCATCCTAAATTAAATCAGCGTCGATTATGCTGTGTGAAGTACCTGGGTGAGATGTACAACTATCGTCTTGTCGATACTCGTGTTATCTTTAATACTTTGTATTCGTTCATCACCTTTGGTAACAGTGAAGAAGGTTAGTATCAATAAGAATACATAACAGAACACTTCATCCCTGTTGAARCACTAGAACACTTGATCAACTGTCTATGCATGCAACATAGAACAAATGATCAAATCTCTGTGGTAATGAATCTACAGAACACTTGATCAACTCTCCATATTAACAGATCGTTATTTCATAGGTGGTCCATCAGAGCTCGAYCCTGCTACCCATCTGTTCCGTATTAGGCTGATGTGTACTCTWCTAGACACGTGTGGACAATACTTTGATCATGGCAGCTCAAAGCGAAAGCTAGATTACTTCTTGGTCTACTTTCAGGTGGGTAGAAACTTTATTAAGGTATGATGATGGTAATCATTGTGATGCTAATGAATRATAAAGAATGATTACTGAAGGCAATGATGACCATTGTCAGGTTTCTAAATCAATAATAAATTGATGTTTTTATTCTTTAGTTATACATCTTGCGAAAGAAGGCCTCTCCAGAATGGAACGAMAATCATCCATTCCCTAGAGATGTTGAATACATGATAGCTGACACRATGGAAGTACTTCGACCAAAACTAAGRCTGTTCACTACGGTAGATGAAGCTTTAACTAAAGTGAAGCAGATACAGAAAGATCATCAGGAACAAATGGGTAAGAATGGCTGACTAGACCAGAGCGGGATAGGGCTGTTTAGAATATGATGATAGTGATGAATATGGTGATGATTTGCATTAATAATCCTAACGCATCGTTACAGTCCTACCATTAAGTGACAGCCAAGACCAAGAGAACGAAAACCAAGAAACACTTCCATCCAATCCTATCGCTGTACCTACTGTTGCTAAGGTAACATCAAATTCTCTTGGAAGCTCACCGTGCCAGTCTCCAATGATGCGCGACGAGTATGAACCGAGTGAGTCTGGTGAGAGTGAGCAAGATGTCGAGGATGACAACGTTGACGAAGTTGATGATGAGTACGAGATAATCGACATGGAAGAAGACGAGGATGAYATGAACAAGGTAAAAATATTTCCAGCGCAGTTACTCCAAGAATAACCGTGCATCAACCAATCAATCATGAAGTCAGAACTGACAGCGTTACATGCAATGTATTCCAATCGTTCACAGTCTGATTCAATCTCACATCCCGATGCCCGTCAGCAGCCAGGAATAAATCCGCARGTTTCTCCTTAAGTCACTTGGGTTTTGCTCCGACTGCTWAAACCAGTTYCACTTGTATGWATCYTCCCAACAAGACCAGCCAATCAAACTAGTTTATGCAAGTACATAACGTTTTCTTTCTTATCCGAAGGTAAAAGTTCTTAGTCCCCCCAAGCAAGAACCAACTGTTGAGGACGTGGAATTTGAAAGTCAGTTTGAGCGATTAATGATAAACGACCTTCACTCGCGTAGAAGTGAAATGATAAAAGTAAGAAAACAGACTTTTTCAATCATCATTGATGTTAGTTTTTGCTCTTTCACATGGGCGATGGATCGTTAGATCTAGTAATCCWTCTTAGAAGTACTTTCACAGYAGTTTTACYAAAATCTTTCAGGTTCCCAATTTGGACATCGCTGTTCCAATGCATCTTAAAGGTCAAGGTCGTAAGAGTGCACCATCGCCTAAGAAAGAAGACAGTGTCAACTTTGTTCTGATGCTTCGTAAAGGTAACAAACAACAGTACAAAGACTTCGAGGTTCCGATCTCATCGAACCTGGCAGCGACTGTCAAGCAAAAACAACAAGCTGAACAGGCTGAACAAGAAGAACTCAAAAGACTTGTGTTGGACTACAATCAGAGACAAGAAGAAGAGACTTATAACGGTGAGCATTCCTTTCTCTCTCCCTTCTTCKCAACCTTCTCTCTTTTCTTCATRTTGTTGTCTTTTTCTYTCTACTTTCCCTTCTCTTTAATTTTTCTCTTTTCCTAATCTTTCATTTAGTCCACACTTCCGTCCTCCATTCTTATTGCTGTCCTTTCATTCTTCTATCCGCCTGTATTTTCTTTTCGTCTTTGTGTTACCTACGAGTGTCCTGTCCTTACCTTGCCCCCGGTACATGTTTTTTTTATTTCTTCTAGAGATCATGTCCCAGCAGCGTCCGAGTGGGGAGTCAGCTGGTCGTGCACCATATCAACGACATAAGAAACAACAACGGCCACCGCAGTACAATGGATGTCCTGATCCAACAGTTGGTGGAATGTTCCCAGACATGAGGTAATCTATGTATTTTTTCACGTCAGTTTTTGTTTGTTTTACCTTACTTCTCACATACTTTACCATGAACCAAGATACCGTTCGTTTGTTTTCCGCAATGTGTCACTGTGTTTTGTTTACTATTAGGAAGCGTTGAGTTCCAAGACTGGCGTATCTCAGCTTAAGCTGTGCTGACAGCACAATGTTACCAGCTCCCAATGGATGATGGTCAGGCCCTATGTAACCACGCGTGTGTGGACGAGCCTTTCCTATTGGCAGGTTTTTAACCATTGTTTTAGTTCGTATAACTGGACTAGACGGGCATTTAATGCCGTTTAACCGTGCATGGACTTTAAACATGCTATTTTATTCAATATCTAGACGTAGCACTTGGAACGATTTGATTTTCAGAATATTATTGTAGTATTCTAATTGACGATCTTATTCTTCAGTATTCGTTGACTTTTCAACTTATTGTAATACAATCATAATATCTAACCCAAGGCACACATTTGTACTTCTTGCATGATTCATCAATACTTTGTTCGTCAGGTTTGCCATAATCATTAACAATATTAATAAACACTTTAACACTGAAACAAAGTCTTTATTCAGTGATTCACTGTGTCATTGTTGACGTTGATGTTGTTGATAATGCTGTAATTGATACTATTGTCAATGTTGCTCCTGTTGCTTCGTCTTTTCAACAAGCTGAAAAACGCTCATTGAATACAAGGGAAATGATTTCCAACCAATTTTGGGGTATGTGATTAACACAGCAAGAAGTACAGAGGACTAAAGACACTAAAAGACGTTCAAAGATTGATTAAGAAACCTGCGCTTTTTATTTTTAATGAGTTATTCGATCCAAAAATAAAAACCATCGGAAGCGAAAAATTGTTAATTTGTCGACATGTCGAAATATGAAGGAAAACTATCAACTTATTCAAACATGGATTCACTAGTTTGTGTCATCTAATACTCGCCAATTCCATAGTATCCGTCATTTCAATTTCCGCAACTACTGATTGGAAATAGGTTATCAACGTTGGTGKGCTATTTGAATCGATATGATTGGTCGAGGATTTGTAGCATTGATTGGCTAGCTGTTTGAGCAATATGTTGGCCGTCCTAATGAAATAAATCCATCTCGGCAATTATTGTTTTCAATATTAAATAATTGTTACCGCCCGCCACTTATCTTGATTGTCACAAGGTGGTTTAAATGAAGGAAGAATAATCTTTCGTATTGCAAGTCTTTTTACAAATTGTGGSTTTCTGTTTTATCAATACGAGTGAACAAGAAACATCTTATTTTCCAAGAGTATTTGATGGTATAAGTTGGTTGCTTGGTGTGGTTTTTGTTCAGTGGTGTGTAAGTCGTCTCTGTGCTCTTGACTCCGACAAGAAATTAAAGAGCTTTATGTTATCATSTTCAAAGTTTAAGAAAATTGTGTACAAATCTTTCTCAAAGAAGGGACAAAAAGTACAATGGGTGTGTAGTTCAGCTGTTCGYTATTTACTTTTCTAAAATCAACAGACTTTTCTAAATRTCAGTGTCCGTCAACATTGCTACATTGCAAAGCGATTATTAACAAATGGACAAACTTGAAACTGTGTAAGGATAAAAGTGAAATAAGATCACTATAATGATTTGGGCATCGCATTTCTGATCAACAGTTATTAGACAAGGCCAAGTAGAAATAATTAATAGGCGTTGGCTCCTGTTCCTTCTGCAATTGGTTGATTCATGCAGCTGGCTTGTTGACGATGTAAATCAAGCTTTTGTGGTGTTTGCTACGTAAACATTGTTATCATCCTAGTGAATGGGTTTCGCAACAAGAAAGATCAGTTTCATTAGTTTATACGGTTCGTTTTTATTTTCAACTTACCAAACATTATTATGGACTGAGCTCTGATTACAAAGTAACCCAAGATAACTCGGAAGAGGATGCGCGCTTTGAAAGACTTCACATRCCGTCAACAGTCACGTTTTTGACAAGACCACAAGCTTCACCGCTATATCGTAACCTTTGACAGTTCAGTCGATGTCCAAGAAACGTACAGTGTCTTCAGTGATCGGAATTATAACCCAAAAGTTGGGTTAGTTGTTTGTAAAACATGACGACGGACACCCAGTACAGTGCATGGGAGAAAACACAACTTGAACACAAGTATCTTTGGGCTGCTGGTCTCGGTGYTACTATCTTTTTCACTGTAATTCCAAACCTGATGGTCATTGTAGCAGTATTAAAAGATCCYCATCGTAATCTAAGACGTTCACCGTCCAACCTGCTTATCGCTAGTCAAGCCCTTGCTGATCTATTTGTTGGYGCGATAAAAGAACCCTTATGTATTTGGTGGCTAATGACATTTAAGAACGATGTTATATTTTTAATTGAAATATCAAGCTCTCTGTTCATGGTAGCTTCCATTATACACGTCTTAGCTTTGAGTTACGATCGCTATGTCGCCGTGGTAACGCCTCTACAATATACATCTCGCATAACCGTACGGCGTACATACRTCATCAGTGGTTTAATATGGTTATACAGTGCATTCTATACAGCTTACCGCACGTTACTRCGAGTATTTTACAACAAGTACCATGCAGTTGCCTTTGTWACAGGCTTAAACACTGTCTTCCCAGCATTCATTGCCGTCTTGATCTATTTTTGTCTTTTCCACGTGATCCGGAAGTACAAGAAAAACTCTCAGAATCTTGACTCATCAGGTCGTGCTACCATGCTTGCGTATCAGAGACAGCGTAAGATGACAGTYGTTCTAGTAGCAGCATTCTTCTTGTTCTTGTTCTGTTTAACACCATGGTTCGTYTTCTATCAGGTTATTGACGCTTGTCCTAACTGCGAGGACAACAAAGCTTTAGAGATGTACTTGTTCTGTGGGTTTTTTTATCTTTTTATGTTCAAATCRTTACTAAATCCTTTTCTTTACGCTTGGAGRCTGTCGAAGTTTAGGAAGGCGATCAAACAGATGTTGCCATGTTGTTATCGATGCAGCAATAGAAGAGTCTCAACTAGCAGTACCTCAACCTCGTTTCAAATCCGAGGAGGAGCCAGCCTTAGACATAGCATGGACCCGGATCCAACCTCAGGGAAACACTGCATTCTAAAAATGTGAAGGACAGTAATATTCGGCACATTGTAGGATAATTTAACTCTGATATTCTACAATATTGGACAAAGAAGTGTAATATAATAGCGCTGGATAAATATAATGGGAAAGTCATCATGATATTAGAGATATTTTGTTTTTGTTACAATGAAACAAGTACCAGGAAAAGACTGTTTTGTAGCTACCTTATGTATGTCTCACGAACTGTACTCTTTCTTGAAAGAAAAGCCATGCTAGAGTTAAAGTCGAACCCTCAATCACTTCAAACAGAAATTCGATGAAAAAGATTAATTGGGGCGATTCCCCCGAGACATTCTGTGAATGAAGCTTAGAATTGAAATCGATTTATATTCTGATAAGAGGTCTCGGTTCTTCCATGCTATACCAGATACTTGACTTAACCTCGGGCTAACTAAAACAAAACAGCGAGGGAGAAGATAATCGGCCCCTAGACCATAGATGATTAACCCCTTGCACTTACTAGGCAGCTATCGATRAAAGTGGTCTAATATTATGTAAATGACGTGGTCCATAGGCCCACTCTGTTAAGGCGCTGCGTTTGAATMAAGYCAACTTGTGGTAGTAGCATGGGTTCGAATTCGGAATATTGACACTTCTTTACACTACGTTGGCTGGGTATATTTGTTCTTCATTTTTCTTTTTGTTTTTATTTTGAAGAACTTGACATGATTTATATACATTTTATCTAATTATTTCTAAAGACAAAGCTCTTATGAGTGGTATCCTTGGGAAGGTCGTTTGTGGATACCTATGGCTTTCATCTTGACTGAACTGGAATGTGAAATAAGATCAACAAACTCGGGAAAAAGAAAAGCTTACGAACATCAGCTAAAAGCTAATCTTTGACTTGACCAAGTGCGTCTAAAATACCTCATCKTGACGTAATTGTGTTGTTCTGTGACTTCAAAGGAACAACAGTAAAGCAGTGTGAAAAGCTTTTAAATTAGCGTTATAGGAACACCCTTTTCTCTTGAAGACAATCAGGGCATCTAATAAATGATAGAGCAGAGTMACATGAACCATGAAATAAGAACTAAAAAGTACTAACTAATAGGCACTATTAGTTCCTAATAGTCATTAGCACTGAACCAGAACACTTTATTTGATCCAATAAGCAATACCCAAGAGAACACTATAACAATCAAAGTAATTTCTTTGTACTGTTCTGGTTCAGTGATAGTGTCTAAATAGTGCCTATAAGTTACTAAATATTTAGTTTCTATTTCATGGTTCAAGTGACTCTGCTCTACAAAAATCCAATAAATTTCATGTATGTTGTACTCATTTTAAGAAGGCAATTAAATACTGTTCGTAGAGAATGAGTATGCATCTAGTAGTAGTAAATATATAGAGTTTTAATGAGTATATTTTGTTTTTCTGTGGGCGGTAGGCGTGATATGTACGTTAATCATCTATTGTATTCGGTTCCATTGTTTTATTCTATTGTTCAATTGAATGAGTTATATAACTGTGCCTCAGTAATGACTTGGTCACCATTATTCCATGTACAATTAAAAGGCATTGTTTCTGGAACATATATTATGAGCGCTCTTTTGGGACGCATCATTCTGAGATCATAGTCCAGAGGATATAGAGCACAAGTTGGCTTGAGTAACACTTTCAAACAGAAACCTTCAAGGGGATAAAAAGGTATGTAAAAACATACTTAATATAGTTAATAGTTAACTATCTTGKTAAAACTACTGAAAYATTTATARAAATAGATTCAAATATTCTCGGTTTTGTTTCGCGTTGATAAAGGGAGTGTTTTCTAAATGTTCCAACCTATAACAGCATAATACTTGGAACACGTTACGTTTGATAGTCGGCTGTTATACAAGATATCATTTCTGCCTTATATAGTTTTAGTTCTGTGTGTTYCAGTAACAAGGCAATTTTAAGACCAGTACAAAACTGTTTGCACCGTACTGTCGCCGTATATATTAACATTTGGCTTGTATTCCTGGAATACCGACCATRGRTTGAACTAGTTTYCCTATAGAAGAGAAAAACGCTGCAAGAAACCCATTTATAGAGCAGCGCAGAGGAAAACAGTAAATTATCAGCTAGTTATGGAGTACAATTTGATACAGGGAATTTTAATGGAAACGTTCTTGAAATCTTGAATAATAGTAAAACTGTTTTCAATGTATTGTAAGGTTTTAGTCGAGAGGAACATTTCTTAATCATAAACTTGATGACTTTGGATTCAGTTTAGGGCTGGCTGTCCGACCAGAAGGAACATTTTTTCTTGTGAGGAAAAGYAATTCAAGCCATGGATTTCAAAGTGATTCTGATACTTTCACTGTTTGCTGTTGGGATGGCCGACATCAACTTGCACAACCCAAGGTAAGAMACAGCAAAAAGTACATTTCCGTTTTGAAAAAAAAATGTGCGCTTATAAATTATCGATCGATCATTTGTGACCAAGTGGTTCTCGTTGAGTTCTTACTTGGTGTTCAACATTCAAAATACCGAAGAAATAAAATAAAAACGCAATTTGTTTGGCAGACCTAACCAACGTACCGGCCAGGTACGCTGGCTAGAGCAGAACTGAATTTTATTCATGTAACGGACAATAATGCGTGATCGCTCACGCGGAGATCACAAATCCAAATATGGTAAATGTCACACAACCTTGTCACACATTGAAGATTGGTATCGTTCCAAGCAAAAATGATATATGTTATATAATATATATTTAATATACAGCTATTTGCAATAATTCTGACCCCCTCTGCCATATTTCAAATATATCAAACTGACCTTAAATATTATGGGATATCATGACTGATATATTTTTTGAGTTGTCCAGAATGAGTACTTTCTAAAAAAAATATCAGCAATGGTATCCCATAATTTCTAAGGCTACTTTGATATATATGAATATTAGTGTAGGGGGGTCAGAATTATTGCAAACGGCTGTATGTCCAGTTGTTACTCCCTGCATACTATAGATCTATACAAAAGGTTTTCATTAATAATTTTTCTCCAACCTCTTTCCATTAAGCTGCACTGGTCATTCGGTAAATTTATTCACTTAACTCATTGCTACCAGAGTCACACGACCACTGCAGACCATTTTCCTCAAATTTAAAACGTTTTTCAATGATTATCTTTCAGGGGCGGCAACAATCGTTTGAATGAGCCAAACAGAGATCGACGCAATGCTCGAAGGTACATTAAAACTCTTATTTAACAAATATCGACATTGTAAAAAGCTTTATTTATCTAAGGATTACGAGTTCTAAAGATGTATAAAGCTGCTTGTATGTTGTGTGGATATAGTAAAGTAACCAACATCATTGTTTTCAGGTTGTTCGATTCTCAAAACAATAACCGAGGAGGACACAATGTCGGAGGGCTGTACTACTACGGGGGGACTACATTACAGATACAGTGGTACGCATATACTTAAAAGTACTCGGTTTGCCCGGTACTCTTGTACC